AATGTAAGCGTTTCGTTTGAAATCCTGATTTTCTAAATTTTAGTTCTTAATATATTTAATTATAAATACAAAACTTCAAAATAAATTTAACCATGCAAGCGGTTTTTATGCCATGCATCACGATTCGAATTTCGCGATCAGTATCACGATAAAAATTTCAAATTTCACCACATTTACCAAATTTTATCACAGATTAAATATTCATATTTTATTATTAATTCGACCAAAATTATTACAAAAGCGGTTTTTATTGTTTGGTGTTGCAACAGTGTCAGAAAAACTTTAAACTCCACCATATTCTAAAAGTTTTGATATTTCTTTTCATAATTTACTATTCTCAGATGTCGTCTTTGAATAAATTCGAACTGATTAATTTAATTTCCGTAAATCATTAAAAAATATATCAAATATTTTCTGTAATTTTTATGATAAATTAATTACATTTATTATTGTTTGCCCCTTTTATTCAATATTTTAGTTTCTTATTTGAAAATATAATGCATTTTTTAAATGAAATTTCTACTTCTGCTGCGCTGTTGAAAAAAAAACAAAGCGACATCAAGTACAAAATTTATTTGAAAGAAAATTAAATTAATTTTATCTAAAAGCTTCTTTAATCAAGTATGACGGATAGAAAGAAAATTTTACGCTTACTGATCTGGGAAATTAGGTTTTGTTTCTCTATGCACATGGATGATCAATTATTAATGCATATTTTTGTCTTTTTTTTCATTCTATTCATAATTAAAAACATTATAAAGAAATACTTTATAAGACTTAAAAAAGAAAGAATTTTTTAAATGTCAGTTGCACGACAAATAAATTTATAATCATCATATGCTGCAGTTATGGGCACATATTTTAATTTTATTCAAATCAAATTATTTAAATAAATAGAATTTAATTTTCTTAAAAAGCGTAAGAATTATACAGGTTGTAATACGTTATATTGATTTTCTTATTATATTATGTTAATGCATAAATATGCATAAAATTAAAAAAAATACAACAAAATGCCATAAGGAGAATTAAAGCTTAGATTGTCGATGTTAATAAAGCAAATATTTTAGTTTAGAATTATTCTGCAACTTTGTTTTGTCTCTGATAGAAACGTGACATAAATTATGTTTAATTTAGCGTGAAGCGTTTAAAGTAATTAAGTTATACTTTGCTGGATTTGGTTTATTCAGCAAATTAATATTAATTATCAATTTTAATATTAAAATAATGAGAAATAATTTATATTTTACAAACTTACAGGTTTATTTGTTGATATCTTCTGGCCAAATTAAATTTTTTTCAGTTTATGCTGCATTTGTACGATAAAAATATATATACCAACTTAAATTAATTGCATTATTTCGTGTATGTGGAAAATAATTAAATCATTCTGCTATTTTTTTACTTTTAACTGATTCTACTAATTATAATAAAAACATAAACAGGGATCACTTAATTGTATCACCTAATATATTAATTAGGTAATATGTGTAATCTAAACAAGCGCATAAATCCATATCTATACTTTAAAAGAGCAAAATAACGAAAGATATGTAATTTACAACAAAATAGTAACTAAGTGTCTAAAATCTTAAAAGAAACAACAAAATTAAATAATACTTTCGTTCGAAACATTTGAACCGAAGCAGTGTTTGAAACATTGATTTAGAAATTGTAATCTTTTTAGTCTAGTTTCTCATAAAAATAATGCAGGAAATTCTTTGAACGTTTACTTATGGTCTAAGGTATCTTCAGTTTCATTGCTTATAAATTAAGTCAATATTTAACACACTAATACATATGTTTTGCAGTCATGTGACCGTATTACATGTTTCTGTTAACCATATAAGGAAGTATAAGTTATTTAATGATTGTTTTGCAAAAATAAATTTTAAATATACATTTCATTAAAATAACAAATTTTAAATAAAGCTAAGCTTAAAATCCCTTAATAAAATTTTTCTCGATAGAAAAGTCACCTTTGAAGACGAGAGATAGTTATAAGTTTAAGTTGCAGATATTGTTATTAGCAACAATAGTTACATAGTTACATAAAAACCATTAAAAACTAAATAAGTACTTCTAAGGAGCAAAAATTAAAGTCAACTTACTTAACTTTTTTTTCTAATTCAAAACTTTTAGCGGCGAAAACGTTTTTCTAATAGTCAGCATTAATATATGTAAATATTATTGAATTACTTTTGATTTTTTTTTCTACTCCAGGCTTTAAAATAAGTTATAAAATGAGTTTTGAGATATTCTACTATCATTACTAAGCCAAATAAAGGAATTTTTATTGAAAAAAGTATATAAAACTTTTCCAACAAGCTTACAACAATTTTAAAAGATATAAACAGGAGTATGTTGTACATTTTACGATGCTTCACATTTTAGAGTAGGCTTTAATAATACTTAACTACGGCTTTTTCATATGATGGGATATTACTTAGTAGCCTTTTTCACACCTTCAACTCTTTGGGAAATGTAGGAGAAAGGGAAAATAAAAAGCTTTTATCAATGAAAATTTTTATTACTTTAGTTTTATAGTTTACTTTAGTTTGAATTTACGTTTAAAAGAAATTATTTTATTTTCATATTTATCCAGGAAATGAATATTTGAAAGATGTTTTTTTTTTAATGGATATGGTTTAGATTATTTAAGAACTTAACTTTAGTTTTTTCAGAATAGAAAAAAAAATATATGCTGGCTTATTTAATAGTTTTATTATTATTTTTTATTGTAAGACAGTTTTTACATTCTAATGTTACTCTTTAAGAGAAGCTGAGTCCTTCAACGTAATAAACTCGTGCAAAACTTTAGCAATTTAATATTTAAAGTGATTTTTATATAAGCAATATAAGAGTAAATCTATTAAATTCTCAATAATTTTCTGCAAAGGTAACACTATCAGAAAAATCGGCTCTCAATTGAATCATATTAATAATTCATAAACGATAATAAGGTAAATTTTTTTGCAATATTATTTATATATTATCATAGTTTCGTTCAAATTGAATGGAAAAAAGTTCTGGTAAAATTACCATACTGTAGGGTAATGACACACATAAAACATAATTCTGGTTAATAAAACAAATATATAAGGTATTTTCCACTTATATAGTAACAGATTACAGTAAATTCTGGTTCTAAAAATTATAGTTCTTATTACCACACATTTACTAAATAATGCAAAACTGAAAAATTAATTTAATAAAATAAATAATTTTTATATCGTACTTTTGCCGACCGGCCTGTGTAGGGGGCAGAGAACTGTCCTTGCATCAGAAAGGTCTTTGGTTCGAATCCCGGGGAAGGCATGGATGTTTCTTTCTCTCTGTGTGTGTTCTATGTCCTTTCTCCTTTGTGTGTGAATGTGTGTGAATGTGACCCGCCCTATAAACGAGTTGTGGTTGTGTGAATGGCGTGGCAGAAGTCGAATTCCAGGCATAGATGGCGCCACTGAAAAATAGAAACGATCGCACCCCCACTGCCTAAACAGGCATACGACAAAAAAAATAGTGTACTTTTAGGTATAATGTAACAATCAACTAACTACCTCATTTTCTAAAATGTATCGCACATTATAAAACCATATTTTACTGCTCATTTTACCAAAAGCATTATAAAAACACTTCAGCTCAAATATGACCGAGCTTATAATTTTAGTGTTCACTTGGTATGGTGCTTACATATTTTGGTGTTCTCATAAAGCCAGAAACATAATAAATTTAACTATATTCTGGTAATTTTGACATACTTTTTTTCTCAGGGCATATTTGTGTGAAATCAAGTTTGAGAAATACATTAAATCAGGGATTACGTGGTACAACTATTAGGGAGCAAGAATTTAAACGATATTAATTTGTAATGTTCTAAAATTTCTAACTGTTAAAATCCTACCTTGCAGCTATAGTTCACATTGCAGAATATGCATAATATCCTTTATATAGTCTTGTACATAAATTAAATAAGTAAATCAATACAAAATTTGATATGGACTAGGTATAAATTTCATTTAAAATAGAATTTAATTATAACAGAATAGTGCTTTAGTTTTTTTAAGTAACGCTTGGAAAACGATATTACCACAACTTTAAATTAATGTTTCAACATTTTTCTCTCATTTTTTTCTTAAACTTTAACATTTGAACTTTAACTAATCTAAATTTTATTGGTCAGGATAACCTGGTTTTCAGGGCACTGGACTCACGTTTGTAAGAACAGGAGTTTGAATCCGGCCTGCCGAAGACTCCCAGTATAGTAAATATGACTGACGTATGTTAAATCTGTCGTGTCACAAAGTTTTCGATGTTCCCATAACAAATCATTACCTCTGGTGTTACTGAATAGGAGATTGATCGTTCTCTGGTTCAGGTCAGAATTACGATCTGTGGATGAATGAATGGACATATGAATGGGTCTGTCCTATAAGCAGGTGTGACGTATGGGTGTGGCAGAATTCGAATTTTTGGCCTAAGAGGGCACCACTAGAAAACAAGCACGATCGCACCCCCTCTGCCTTAATGGCCGACGGCAACAGCAACATGAATTTTATTGATAGCTGCAATCAAATACCATTTTATTATTTCCCATAATAAACTTAATTCAAATGCTTTTTCATCTCCAAATTTAACTCTGGTACACTGAATTAAAAAAGAAAAATATATAATTTTTGAAATAAACTTACAAAGGAACAATCAACGGTATTTATGGAAAAGTTCTCAGGAAAGTCAAAACTCATTAATAAACACAAGGGAAAATCTGGTACTGATGAGGAAATTAAGATAGAACGTTATAAAATTTTTCTCTTTTGTCTTGAAAAACAAACATGTTTTGAAAAACAAACATAGACATAGTGTGGTTTAAAAACAAACATTTTGTTTTGAAAAACAAACGTAGAAAATTTATCAGAAGAATGGAAAAATTGACCAAATTCGCCGTAAACAATGCAGAGTGTTTATTTGACAACATAACATTAAATAATAATTACCTTCCTTGGTTTTAAAATGCCCCAGATCCATATTATTATTCTACACCATACTCCATATTAACCTTCAATATTTGAAAACTGTATTTCCTTCTATCACTACTATAATTTGCTTCAGTTTTTTTTTTCAATATGCTTCATAAGCTACAAAAAAATAACTGCATTATTTCAGGTTTCTTGCTTTCTTTTCTTTTCAAGGATTGCAAAAACTAATTATTTTTAAAAATCTAAGCTAATTTGACTATGAATTTGACTAATTTGACTATGACCATGAATGACTATGAACAATAAAAGGGTAAAATATACTATCTCAATTACAATGCATGCGCAACTTTTTCAAATATATACTATTTAAATGTTCTATACATTCTAATTTTAATGAATAATTAAAAAATAAATTAGAAATACTTTTATCTAAATGCCATGGTTTCTAAATGTCATCTAATGTCACTTTTTTAGATTTATTTTAAAAACAAATGTCCCAAAACTTAATATTTGAGTTTATACAAGTGTTAATGTGTTTATTAAATACCAAAACATCATAACAAAATAGTAAATTGATTTTTAAAAATTTAAATATGTCCAACATATATATCAAATTAGTTTTGAATAAAAGATAAAAATACTTCTAAAGAAACGATTTTGCTGATCCTAAAGAATTTATATTTGGGTTTTATAAATAAACATCCCCTTATTTTAAAATTAAGAAACGTTCCAAATAATATTGCTTAGAATATTATCTATTCTTTTTAAATAAATCATTCATGAATTAAAAGCATTAAATAGTTCAGAAAAAATCTAGGTTTCAGCTATAGAAATTATATATAAATAAAATAAGGCTATCAGTTTTTGCGACAGTATGTCTCAAAATTATAGGGTGGCAAAGTTATCAGTTTTCCACTTGGACAGTTCCAAATGATGTGTCAAAAGGGTCATAAAACGATTAAGACAACTGTCACAAAGAGGCGTATTCTTTTTATCGCAATCTCCTAAAAGTATGTTTACAGTAAATGCTTTTCAAACACGCACGGATTAAAGCCTCCAGATACAACGATAAAGTCAATGCTATTTTTTTACTGCTCAGAATATTTGGAAAACAGTAACAACTAGTTTTTCTTAATCTGGGATTAAATTTTGGAAGGCGGATGATAGCTATAGCCATTTTTAAAAAAAACATCAGTATAAGTCTAAAAGAATTCTATAAATGTAATTTCCCATTAACTTTTTTTTTAAGTTTTAATGCTGGATTTTAAGCTATTTGAAAAGTTTCAATTAAATCTAATTTTTTTAAATAAAAATTTTAAAGTAATTATAAAAATAACGAGTTCGTAAAATATTAGTTTGTAGAAACTATAATGATTTTTGCATAATCAGTTTTGACACTTAAAATAACGAATATGTTTATTCATTATTTTCTGTTTGCTATACATGTTTGTACACGGACAAAAAATTTCAGTTAAAATCACTGTACTATATGAAAAAAAATATGTAATTCTAGTCAATGAAACCAAATTATAGAGTGATATTAATTGCCAAATTAATATGCGGCATTATTAATTTGGTAATTTTTCAGTTCATATGGTAACATTTTATCAGTAATTCAGGTTTTCAAATTTGTAATCCTTATTAAAAAATTGAAAAGTTAAGTTAAACAAAATATATGATTTTGTAACATGTTCTAAAGTATACCATAGTTTACCATAGTTTGGTAATTTTGATATACATTTTTCTCGGTTTAGTATCAAATTGCTTCTATTAAAAGCGATGTGTTATAGTTAGATTTGATTAGAATGGATAAATTTTTCATAAAGAATCGATTCATTTAAAGTTATAAATTTATTTGCTATGGCAAATAAAATTCTATTTAGGTTAAATGTCTACCAATAAAATAATTCTAACAACCTTCTACGTTTTAAAGGCTTTAATTTGACATTTAGGAGCTGGATTTCAATACGTCCTTTCGCACTTTAAAAGGAAAAGGATAAGCTTTGAATTAACAAAAAAATTAACGCAGAAGATAAATGAAAGAAAGATATACCTTTTACAATCAAAAACAATGTATGGATTTTCAATAAAACTTTCTAGGAGTACTCTTTCGTATTTAAGATTTAAATATTAGACAATTTTTGCAAGCGTTACATTATTTATATTTCTATCACACCTGAAATGTAATTTTGACAATGTGTGCTAAAACAATAGCATTTTGCAAAAGAAATTAGTATGTTAACAACTGAAATTTTTCATTGTTTAAAGCAAAATTCGCAACATTACCAATCTAAGAACTTAAAATTTGCATTAATAACAAATTTCAAGCAGAATATAGAAGTAAAAAGGTAATTTATACAGTCAAAAACAATGTATGGATTTTTTTGTTTTACTAACATCTTAGATTACATTAAAAATCAGAAAACAAATTATAAAGTAAATGTTAGAGTTTCATTATGTGAACAATTTAATATACTGAAAATTATGTGAAATTCTTCTGAAGACCATAAAATTATTCGTTTTACAATAACGCCTACAGGGAGACATAAATGGTCTAATAGTCTTAAAAAATAAGAATATTAAACCATTAGACACTATAAAGCGGCTAAAATTTAGAAATTTTTTTTTAAGTGTTTGAAAAACGTTATGTGACAAAAAGGAGAGTTCTTTGTTTGAGTTCCAGAAATTTCCAGCAGATGGTGCTGTCGATAATACAACTGTAAATCATGGGAAAATAATTAAGCAACAAAACAAATTTTTTTGAAAATTTTTGATGAATGATAATCAAATTACACTATTTTCAAAATGTCCATCAGCAGCTGAGATCACATGTCGCAATAGGTGAACAAAATTAGCAAACACAACGGAAAGATTCATAGCATCATCTGTCGAAAATTTTCGGAACTAAAACTAAGAATTCGGGGTGAAATTATGGACTAACCTTGTAAACTTATTGGAAGATATTTTTTTAAACTTATTTTTGTAACTGGTATAACTTTTTTAAAGCTGTCTATCTACTTAAGGAAACACTGTGCATCTACCACTCATCACTTCGTCAGTCATCGTTTTGTTCTCTTTTACTTTGGTAAGAAGAAGAAATTTCTATTTAAATTCCGATTAATATCAAGTTTAAATTAATAAATTGAATCAATAATTTTTTCTTTCAAACCCTAATTACATCAAAAATAAGTGTTAAGCGTATGCTGATGACAATATCATATTATTTGAGCATAACAAAAGTTTAAAACAAGCTTAATTAATGGGACAAAATTATTTTAATATTTTTTTCTATATAAATCATTTATTTTTTTTTTCAAATATATACATTCTGAACAATTTTTTAATACTTTTGCTTAACATGCTAAACTGTTTCATAATATTGTATTTTTCAAATGAATCAAATGAAAATTTTTATTTAGAAAAAGTTAAAACCGAAATTTATAGTCATTACTTGTTATAGCCACCACTTGTGTTTTTTTAAATACACTTTTTTAACTAAAAATATCTATTTTAAAAACCAAGTTTATACCGGAATTAATAGTTACAGCACTCCTTTTTTAAATAAACATTTTATTTGTAATAAAATACACTCATTGGTTTCTTAATATAAAAGCTAGTTCACGAAATGCATTTCTGAATAATAACTTTCATTTAATCATGTTTATGAGCCATACCTAGTGTGATAAACAAATCAAAATTGGAGTTAATTATCATGGAAGTATTCACCACCGGTAATTCATCAATCAAGTCACGCCAACATAAATCAACTCAAGAAAACTATAAATCAAGAGAGACTGGAATTGTCACTTTTCAAACTTTATTTTTAAACTGCGATCATTAAACTCAGATTCAAAGAAAACGAAGAAATAGAAAATTATGCTAAATATTCAAAACTGCTCAAGAAAAATGTAACTGCAAGTATAGATATAATGACAAATATTAGAACATATTTTAGTTAAGATAAAATAAGTATGTTTAAAATATTAATCTTTGTTTGAAAGGTTTATGCAACTAGAAGGTTTTATTGTCTCATATCTATTGTTTCAGATAACTAATATGAAAAATATTTCATGTAACTAATAGAAGGATTTATTGTTTTTTTTTAAAAAAATAGAAGCAATTAATGATAATTATTAATTTATATTTAGCTTTCGTGATTTTATAAAAGAGAGATAAAAGATATAATTTTTTACTATGATACAATAAGTACGATCTTAAGTTTTAAACATAAATGATATAGAGTGTGTGATATAAAAAAAAAACCTTTTACAAAATTGGATGTCATAAAGAGATTCTCACAAGCTCAGAAGCAATATTAATGTTTCGATAAGCTAAATTTTTACATTTCAAAATCAGACGCAAAAACGATTTTTTTAATAAACCTATTTTTCGTTTAATGAGCAAATATTTTTTTTTACCTTTTAATAAAGGGAAAAGTTGTAATTAGCAAATTATATCGAAATTGAAATATCAAATTATGGGTATGTAGAAAATAAGGTTCTAAAAGAGTATTTAGAAGTTGGGACAAAAATGCGTTTGATTCAGAAAATCAAAAATCATAGAGTAATATAAAAATTCTTGTTTGTGCAAAAATAAGTTAAGAGTAACAAAAAATTACATTTATGAGTTTCGTTATTTAATTATAAAATATGAGAGAAATTAATTAACATGCTTATTATATGTAGTTCTATTTTAAATGAGAAAAAATTTATAGCCATAAATGCAAGATTACAGAAAAATTTATCGTATTTCTGGCTCTACAGGAACACAAAAGAGCTTGCTAATTTTTGCCAAAGTGCTTTGGTAATGATTTTGGTAAAGTGAACATTAAAATATGGTTTTATATTGCGTGATAAAATTTGGTCATTGTGATAAAATTCAGTAATTTTATCTTGTTACTTAAGGAAGTACCATTCATTCGGTTAAATTTATTTTTCAATTGTGTGTTTTTTGCTAAATGATTGTAATTAGAACTATAACTCAAACTAAAATTTATAGAAACCGTCACCAAATGGATGGAAAAATTATCAAATGAATCGTTTGAGAAAAGTGTATTTAGGTTTTATGGACAACGGCTATGTTTTTTCTTTACCAGAAATGTCATCCCCATTAAGTGCGATAATTTTACCAGATTTTTTTCTCCTTAATTAAACTATCCTGGATCCAATGAAATAGTTTTTACAAAATGAAAATTTAAACATACAAAATTTAATTACTCTTAAATTATTCAGCCGATTTTTTCATCCTTTCATTTTCTCATTAATAAAAACAAAGTTTAAATTAGTGAAAATAATTTTATTTCTCCTAATTTGAGGTATTCTTTTCAGTTTTATGACTTCTATTTTTTAAGTATTAAAATTAATAAATGATTAAAAAAATATTTTGCAATACATTATCTTTGTTTAAAGTTCATTTTATGATAGCTAGCAAAAATATTTTTGTACACTTAAACATTTCCATGGCGATTCACATCTTACACTCGCATGTACTAAATGTGGTCAAAAACAGTTCTTATTTTTTATAGCGATTAAGTTCGAATTCTAAAAGTTAAGAACAGAATTCGTCTAAAAAACAAATAATGTACCTGATTCTTCCTGAAAATTTATCTCATCCAAAACGCCTGTTGTATAGTTTAAATTAGAACTGAAAAAATAATTAGAAACTTTATAATATCACAATATAATGCATAATATTATACGTAATATACAATAATTACTATATAACAAATAATTTAATAATTAATATATTCTTGTAAATATAACAATATTGAAAATATATTATTGTGAATAATATATTATTATAAATACAATATTATTATAAATATATTATAATAATATTATCATAATATATAATAATTACCTGCAATATTTCATCTTATAATACTAATAATAGTTATAGAAATTTTTAAAAAAATAATTTTAAAAAGTGAAAATTAGAAAAATAATTCGTTATCAACATTCAACTTTTCAACTATTTTTTTTTTAATTATAGAATTTTTTTTCAATTTTATACATTGGATATCTTTTTTTTTTCATGCATCAATAAGATTTTTCTAAGACAAATTAAAGTAAGAAAAATATCTCACGCTATATAAGACGCTGCACAAACTAACATGAATTTTTATTTATGCCTTGTAAGCTTATACCACTATCATTCACTTTCTCTTTCAAATTTATTCTAATATCATTCAAAATTTATACGCTTTTGGAAATAAGTTTAAAGGTGTCGAGTTGTAGAAAGCTTGTCAAAAAATTTATATCATTGATTTTATTTGCATATGTAATATGAAAAAAAAAGTTTACCCTCTTCACTGCTTTTCGAGTTCCTAAGCTGGTACTCTTGTCATCCCAAATTTAGAACATCTGTTGAAAATGCACAAATGTACGTCATGCATTATACAAATATATTCAAGCATTTTAAGCTATAAGGAAGAAGTAAAAAAACTGAGTATATTTTTTCTGCGTAAAATATGATCTTGAAAGATCTTTTTAAAATTCTGTTTAGACGTATTTGCAAAATTTTATAAAAAAATAATTCGCCAATTGAAAATAGGTTCGAATCAGAATTTTTTTAATTAATGAGGTAAAGATTCTCACGTCGTAAATGTTAAACAGTACTCTGATGTAAAATCAATATTTATTTGGTTAATCAATTGTCAGTTAGTAAAAAATAATTTAAGACTAGTTACTTTATATCTGTTTAAGGTTACTGCCCCTGCATAGTAAAAAAATGGATGCTTAAATATCACGAAACTTTTTTCGTTTCTTGAAAATATGCTCCGAAAGAACATTTTGTAAAAGCAACGAAATAACTATCGCCACTTCATCAAGGAAATGAATTTCGTCAAAAGTGAAGAAATGTTTCGTCACTTTATTTATAATTTTTTTTTTACATCTTATAGTGTCTAACTTGTAGTATTTTTATCACTTTCTCGTGGGCACTATATATGTCACCTAAACAACACAAGAAGAACAAGTAGAACACACTCAGGGAGAAAGAGAAATCACATCCATGCCCGAAGTGAGATTCGAACACGGGACCCTCCTGTTAAGAGACCATGTCTTTGACCACTATTCATGAAGGGTGGCTTATTTCATCATTCTAGTATCGATTATCGCCAACCAGGTGGCCGAGCGGTTACCGTGCCTGACTGCGGAGCTAATGGTCGCGGGTTCAAAGCCCGCTCAGGGCACTAATGTTTCTTTCTCTCTTTGTGTTCTATGTCCTTTCTTCTGTGTGCGAATGTAGCCTGCCCGATAAATGGGTTTGTGGTTGTGTGACGTGAGCGATTCTGCCCCCCCCCACCGTGGCTTGGCCATAGGTGCTCACTGGGTAACGAGAAGAGAGTAGCAGTTCTGGCATTTCTGAGGTCGATGGGAAATAGACCCAAGTGCCCGACATTAACCAAAGAAAAAGAAGTTTCGATTATCTAGTCTACGTTCAAGTTAGCAGTCTCCCACAATGCACTGAGATGAGAGAAACGTTTTTGTCATATATTTGACAGCTCCTGTTTCGTTTCAAGTCACGTGATTTCGTAACGAAATTATTCTAAAATTAACGAAATTTATTGCTGAAACGTCAAAAGTTAGTTTTTTAATTCTGAAAATGTGTAATAAGTTACAAAGATGAATTTTGAATAAAATTAATTAACAAATTTAAAAGTTTTAAATTAGAATAATAATGCATTTATGTCTCAAGGCCATTCAAAGGCTCTGTCGTTATACATAATATTAAAGAAAAACATACTATTTTTATAACTGTTTTGAAATTGTAATTAATAACTATACCCTTAACTCACTGATTATTTTTTTCCTCTCCAGCCAACTGCGTCAATGCTATTTATGAAAATTTTGAATTTAGTCAGAGATACAAATCTAAAATTGTTTTCTTGACAAATATATAATTGAATTTTAATTATGACGGTTAAGATAAAGCTGCATGAATATGAAGATAACTGAAGTTATGTAAAAAATTGGAAGGACATAAGTTAAGACTCACTAGTGTGAGCAAATATTAAGAAATATTCATTGATTTTAAAATAATTTTTATCTAGGGGAAATATCTCCCGAATAAAATTACTAAAAAATTTTAATATTTTTTCTCTTAGTCGTTGAAGAAAGTATCACTGAGAAAAAAGGCATAGTCTTCATGTCAACAACAAAAACCTCGATAAATTCCAATGAAGCAGTTCGGTAATAATTTTGGAAAAATTAACAATAAAATAATATTAATTTTTAAGATGGTAAATGTTGTATAATTTGGTAATTTTTTATGATACCTTAAATTATGACATGCAACACATTCATTCTGTTAATGAAATTTAATTTTTCAGTTTTGTATTCATTGCTAAATATATGGTAAAAATGAACTATAATTTTGAAAATCAAATTTTCCGGTAAACCATTACTATATAAATAGAGAAAGACCAAATGAATGGTTTAAATACTGAATATTTTGGTTTCATAAACTGAAATTATGCTTTGTACAGTAATTTTAATCGCATTTTTTTTCCGTGAAAAAAATGATTGAAGATTTTTTTCCGCATTTTTTTTCCGCTTTAAACCAAGCTGATCTTTGAGATGATAGTAAATAAATTTAAAATCAAAACTTTAAATGTAGTTTTAAGGAAATTAAACAATTTTTAAATTTCATAAAAGAACCTTGAAGAATATCCCGTCATCAAGAATAAAAGAGAACAGCTTACGCTATAAAACTGACTTAATCATTTCGTCTCAAAATCACGTGATTTGTAGCAAACGGAACTCTCAAACATATAACAAAATGCTTCCTCAACCCGAAGCCTCATCGTAGTGTATTGTGAGTGATCAACTAGAATGAAGAAACTAGGATGAAGTCCATCCTATCGAAAATAAAGTGACCAAATAAGCAGTTCGTTTGTATGGTGGTCAAGAAGTTCGAATCCAGCTATATAGGGCCCACCATAAACTGATTATCTGTAAGTTAAATAGAGATTTTTTTTAAACAAACAGAATGACTAAACATTTCTTAACTGTTGACGAAATTCATTTCCTTGTAGAAATTATAGTTATTTCGTCACTTTAACGAAAGGGTCACTCGGAACTTAAGTTGAAGGTTTTGTCAAAAAATGAAGAAATTTTGGTGAAATTTAAGTTTCCATTTTTAACAGAGCGTAAATTTGTCTCACGGTGTTGGCGTTTGTATCATCACATGCGAATTCAATAAAAGTAATTCAAATTCAGTAAAAAATTTAGATTACTTAAATATAATTAGAAACAAATTATAAGATTTTAAAAAAGATAAAAATTATTATGCACTGTTAAAAATAATATTTTTTAAATACATAATTAAGAATAATATTAGCCATAAACATTTTTATTTATTTTTTTTATTTTCCAAATTTTTAACTTTTAGATTTAAAGACTTTTATTATATGTCGTGAGGAAATATTTTTTGAAAAGAATAAATCAGTAAAAATATTTTTTTTTCAATTAACAAACGGAGCAAAGATAAGAAATATTGTAAACAAGCTGAAACAACCTAAAAATAGATACATCGACAAACGAAAATATTTTTATCTTTTGTTAAAAACCTCATTCGTTTCAATTGGAACAATAAATATGCATTAAGAAAGCGTTTTTATATTTGTCTTTCATTTTCCTTTTAGTTACGAACAAAAAATGAATTTTTATCATAGTTTTGAAATTCGAAAGTATTTTTTTTTTTTCATTTTTCATTTTCCATTTATTACTAAGAAATCACATGCTAATCTTCGAAACGTCTCTAAATTTCTTCTTCATAAAACTTTTTTTTTTCTTGTAGTTGAGTACATATTTCATTCTTTTTTGGAAAGAATGAAATTGAAATGGAAATAAATCAAAACTGCTGACTTGGAATAACCGGTGCAATTTATTACTTCAGAAACTTTTATTTTGTAATTTTTTTTTCATGTCATGAAATTCTGATTTTTACTGCAAATATAAATTTAAGTTTTTAAAATATCCTTTTAAAAGTGCCTTTTATGGATCATTTTCATTAATTCTAACATTATCTCTACAGAATTAGAACAGCTTTGAACTTTTCTGGTTAAAATATATTTGTATGCTTATAAAGAAGTAATAATTATTTTAGATATTTTTCAATAACCTTGAAATTAATTATTAATGTTAATATTTAAACAAAAATAGGTAAAAATAAATCTATCTTCTCCATTAAAGATAATAATATCTTGAAGAAATGGAGTTAAAAAGTGGACTCATTGAAAACTTAGTTCAACAATTGAACGGGGAAAATTTGCTTCCTTAACAATGAAATAAATTGAACCAAACTGCTGCTCTAGTTGAAGTACTATATCATGTATTTAAATTTAAAAATTATATTTTTCCTAATTTAAACCAAGTACCTTATTAAGGTTACGGCAAGTTTTTACCATATTTAAGATCTATGCTATCTCACACTTCCATCCATATAATGTTTAATGCTTCAAGATTAAAATAGCTGAAACAACATTTTCAATCTATTTATTTGCTGAAAGCTCTCCTCGTTGAATCATAATCTTACGCAATATACTTCATCGCTGAAGAGGTTATAGATTAAACTATATTTTCGATCACATTTAACTCCAGTATCATATAAAAATTAAGAAACTTTAAATTGCACTATAA